GGCTGCAGAATACACATTCTTTTCCTCAGCATATGTATCATTCTCAAGGTTAGATCATATGTTAGGTCACAAAACAAATCTTAAAACATTAAAAAAAAAAATTGAAGGCCGAGTACAGTGGCTCACATCTGTAATCCCAGCACTTTGGGAGGCCAAGGCAGGTGGATCACTTGAGGTCAGAAGCTCAAGACCAGCCTGACCAACATGGCAAAACCCCATCTCTACTAAAAATACAAAAGATTAGCTGGGCACAGTGGCAGGTGCCTGTAATCCCAGCTACTTGGGAGGCTGAGGCAGGAGAATCACTTGAACCCGGGAGGTGGAGGTTGCAATGAGCTGAGATCGCACCGTTGCACTCCACCCTGGGAAACAGAGTGAAACTCCAGCTCAAAAAAAAAGAAAAAAGTTGAAATAATATCCAACAGCTTCTCTGATAGCAATTGAATACAACTAGAAATTAATAACAAGAGAAATTCTGGAAACAACACAAATACATGGAAATTAAACAGTATGCTCCTACATGACTAATGGGTCAATGAAGGCATTAAGAAGAAAATTTAAAAATTTCTTGAAACAAATGATAAAGGAAACACAACATACCACAACCTATGGGATACAGCAAAAGCAGCCCTAAGATGGAAGTTAATAGCCATAAGTACCTACATGAGAAAAGACAAAAAAACTTCAAATAAACAATCTAACAAAGCATCTTAAAGGACTGGAGAAGCCAGAGAAAAACCCAAAAAATAGTAGAAAAGAAATAATAAAGATCAGAGCAGAAACAAATGAAATTAAAATAAAGAAAAAATACAAAAGATCAATGAATCAAAAAGCTAGTATTTTGAAAAGTTAAACAAAACTGACAACCTTTATCCAGACTAAGAAAAAAATGGAAGATACAAACAAAATCAGAAAAGAAAGAGGAGACATTACAATTTATGCTGCAGAAATTCAAAGGATCATTAGAGGCTACTCTGACCAACTATATGTCAATAAATTGGAAAGCCTAGAAGAAATGAAAAATTTCTAAGCACATAATATCTACCAAAATTGAACCAGGAAGAACTCCAAAATCTGAAGAGATCATTAACAGGTAACAAGACTGAAGACCTAACAAAAAGTCTCCCAGCAAAGAAAAGCCCAGAACCTGATGGCTTCACTGCTTAATTCTACCAAACATTTACAGAAGAAATAATGCCAATCCTACGCAAACTATTCTGAAAAATAAGGATGAGGGAATACTTCCAAACTCTTTCTACAAGGCCAGAATTACCCTGACACCAAAACCAGACAAAACCACATGAAAAAAAAGAAAGAAAAGAAAACTACAAGCCAGTATCTCTGATGATTGTTGATGCAAAAATCCTCGACAAAATACTAGCAAACCAAATTCAACAATACGTAAGAAAGATCATTCATCATGACCAAGTGGTATTGATTCCTGGGATGCAAGAATGGTCCAACATATGCAATTCAATTAATGTGATTCATCATATCAACAGAATGAAGGATAAAAACCATCTGATCATTTCAATTGATGCTGAAAAAGTATTTGATAAAATTCAACATTCCTTCTTGATAAAAACCCTAAAAAAGCTTGGTATAAAAGGAATATATTTCAACATAATACAAGCCATATACAAGAGACCCATAGTATCATACTGAAAGGAGAAAAACTGAAAACTTTTCCTTTAAGATCTAGTACATGACAAAGATGCCTATTGTCATCACTATATTCAGCATAGTACCAGAAGTCTTAGCTACAGCAATCAGATGAGAGAAAGAAATAAACGACATCCAAACTGGGAAGAAGTCAAATTATCCTTGTTTGCAGATATGATCTTATATTTGGGAAAACCTAAAGACTCCACCAAAAGACTATTAGAATTGATAAATTCAGTAAAGTCACAGGATACAAAACTAACATACAAAATTCAGCAGCATTTCTATATATCAACAGTGAACAATGTGAAAAAGAAATAAAACATGTAATTCCACTTACAATACCCATGCATAAAATTTAATACTTAGGAATTAACCAAAGACGTGATACACCTCTATAATAAAAACTATAAAACATTGATGAAAAAAATTAAAGAGGACACCAAAGACTGGAAAGATATTTCATGTTCTTGAATTAGAAGAATCAATATTGTTAAAATGTCTATGCTACCCAAAGGAATCTACAGATTCAATGCAATTCCTATCAAAATGCCAATGACATTCATCACAGAAATAGAAAAAAAAAATCTAAAATTTATATGGAACCGCAAACACCCAGAATAGCCAAAGAGCTAATCTAAGCAAAAAGAAAAAACCTGGAAGAAACACATTACCTGATTTCGAATTATACTACAGAGCTATAGTAACCAAAACAGAATGGTATTGGCATGAAAACGAACACATAGACCAATGGAGCAGAACACAGAACTTAGAAACAAATCTTCACAGCTACAGTGAACTCATTTTTGACAAAGGTGCCAAGAACATACACTGAGGTAAAGACAGTCTCCTCAATAAATGGTGCTGGGAAAATTGGATATCTACACACAGAAGAATAAAACTAGGCCCCTATCTCTTGCCATATACAAAAATCAAATCAAAATGGATTAAAGACTTAAATTTCAGACTTCAAACTATCAAGCTACTACAAGAAAACAGTGGGAAAAAATCTCCAGAACATTCATCTGGGCAAAATGTTCTTGAGCAAATCCCACAAGCACAGGAAATCAAAGTAAAAATAGACAAACGGGATCACATCAAGTTTAAAAGCTTCTGCATAGAAATGAAACCATTAACAAAGTGAAAAGACAATCCACAGAACAGGAGAAAATATTTGCAAACTATCCCTCTGACAAGAGATTAATATCCAGAATATATAAGGAGTTTCCTAACAACTCTATAGGAAAAAAACAAACAAACAAATAATCCAATCAAAAAATGGACAAAAGATTCGAATAGACATTTCTCAAGAGAAGACATACAAATGCAAACAGGCATATGAAAAAGTGCTCTACATCATTGATCATCACAGAAATGCAAATCAAAACTACAATGAGTTATCATCTTACCCCAGCTAAGATGGCTTATATCTAAAAGACAAGAAATAACAAAGGCTGGCAAAAAGAGAACCCTTGTACACTGTTGGTGGGAATGTAAATTAGTACAACCACTATGGAGAACAGTTGGGAGAGTCCTTAAGAAACTAAAAATTGAGCTACCATACAATCTAGCAATCCCACTAATGGGTATATATCCAAAAGAAAGGAAATCAGTATATTGAAGAGATATCTGCACTCCCATGTTTGTTGCAGCACTGCTCACAATATCTGACATTTGGAAGTAACATAAGTCTCCATCAACAGATGAATAGATAAAGAAAATATGGTAGTTATACACATGGAGTATTATTCAGCTGTTAAAAAGAATGAGATCCTGTCATTTGCAATAACATGGATGGAGTCGGAGGTCATTATGTTAAGTGAAATAAGCCAGGCACATAAAGACAAACATCACATATTCTTGCTTATTTGTGGTATCTAAAATTATAACAATTGAACTCATGGGCATACAAAGTAGAAAGATGGTTACCAGAGGTTGGGTAGGGTAGTGGCAGGGTTGGGGGTAGGGATGGCTAATGGCTACCAAAAAATGAATAAGACCTACTACTTGATAGTAAAACAGGGTGACTAAAGTCAATAATAACTTAATTGCATACATTTTTAAATAACTAAAAAAGTGGAATTGGATTGTTTGTAACACAAAGATAAATGCTTGAGGATACCCCATTTTCCTTGATGTGATTATTTCACATTGCCTGCCTATATCAAAACATCTCATATATCCCATAAATATATACACCTACTATGTACCCACAAAAAATATTTAAAAATTAAAAATAAATAAAAAGTGGGAAAATGACATGAACAGATACTTTTCAAAACAAGACATTTATGCAGTCAACAAGCATATGAAAAAATGCTCAATATCACTAATCATTAGAGAAATGCAAATCAAAGCCACAGTGAGATACTATCTCACACCAATCAGAATGACTATTATTAAGAAGTCAAAAATAGCAGATGCTGGCAAGGTTGTGTAGAAAAGGGAACACTTATACACTGCCAATGGGAATGTAAACTAGCTTAACCACTGTGGGAAGCAGTTTGGGGATTTCTCAAAGAACCTAAAGCAGAATTACCATTTGACCCAGCAATCTCATTATTGGGTAGATATCCAAAGAAATATAATTGTTCTACCATAAAGACATATGCATGTGTGTGTTCATCACAGTGCTATTCACAATAGCAAAGACATGGAATCAGCCTAAACGCCCCTCAGTGGTAGACTGGGAACATATATTCTTACTTACAAGTGGAAGCTAAACATTGAGTACATATGGATGCAAAGAAAGAAATGACAGTTACCAGGGCCTACTTGAGGGTGGAGGATTGGAGGAGGTTAAGGATTGAAAACTATCTATCAGGTACTACGCTTATTACATGGGAGATGAAATAATTTGTACACCAAACCCCAACCCCTATGACACATAATTTACCTACATAGCAAAACTGCATATGTACCCCTGAACCTAAAATAAAAGTTAAAAAAAAGATGGTGAATACCAAAATAAATAAATTAATAAAAATTTAAAAAAAGATTTTTGGTTCTTACACTAGGCAGAAGAGAAAACTATTTTTCCCTAAAGATTATAGTCTTTTCTTTTCCTTGTATTCTTCTTCTTCATTTTTTTTTTTTTTTTTTTTTTTGAGACAGGGTCTCACTGTCACCCAGGCGAGAGTGCAGTGGCATGATTTCAGCTCACTGCAACCTCCACCTCCCAGTTTCAAGTGATTCTTGTGCCTCAGCCTCCAGAGTAACTGGGACTACATGCACACACCACCATGCCTGGCTAATTTTTGTATTTTTTTTTTAGTACAGACAAATTTCCACCATATTGGCCAGGCTGGTCTCAAATGCCTCAGCCTCCCAAAGTGCTGGGATTATAGGCGTGAGCCACCGCGCCCAGCCTAGATTATAGTCTTTTCCAGTTGTGCTACCCATTAGACATGTAAAGGCATTAGAAAATGATGCTAGTGTTAAATAAGTTTAAAACCATCTCAAAAGCCTATCTGGGGTTTTTCCAAGAGATCTATAGCACATGTCATTATATATCTCCATTCAACTGAAAATTCTTACTTTCAGGAAGAGATGAAAATCCTGAATTGACCAAATTGCTCATAAACTCTTGTAAATTCACTGTCCCATCCTCTGAAAGAAAAATGCAAGCCAAAGGACATGGAAAAAGTAAATAATCAAATATAAGAAACAGACAACTATAATTGCTATATTGAGAAATAATGTATAGATATGGCTTTGAAACTGAGATATATATTCAGTCAAAAACACAGGTGCATACATATCATTCAGACACACACACATATACTCATCCTCTATAGATTTCCCACTTTATGCTGCTACTGAGGATTACTAGAACACAGATGACAATAACTAGAACCCAGATGAACAGTAGGTATTTTAAGCTTTGGATAATCTATGAAGCAGAAAAGCCTCTTAAGAATTCTTGAAACATTCAAACTGATTCATGTTAACTAAGATAAAGGATACCTAGAAATACATTAAATACTCACCCCTGGGAGCCACATTCTTCAGTGCTCTTTGAATCACATCTTGGGGTAATGGAACTCCTACAGTTTTCAACATGAAGTCTAGGTCATCAGGGTTTGCCACGTTTTTCTTAATGGAGGCCAGAACTTTCAAGGAGTCTTCTGTTTCTATTTGGAAAAAAAAAACACAGTACAAAAAATTTTTTAAACACTCAAATATTATTAGTAGATTCTGAATGATAGTAATAACTACTGCTACTACTGCCCATTGAGTACTGTTTGAGCTTGCTAGACACAAGCAAGCTCATCTCAGAGATTACATGTATCTCATCTCATTTAATCCCACAAAAGCTCTGTGGAGTCAGTACCAATATTTCCCTTATTTAAGAGATAAGAAAACCTAGCCTTAAAGAGGCTATTCTATCCAAGAACCCATAGATACCAGATGTGAAATCAAGTCTGAAATCCAGGATAACTGATGTTATAGGCAGAATGTTTAACCATGATGTTAACCAAGTCATTGCAGATATTTAAATCTGAGATTTAAGAATGATTACATAGAACTCAGAACATCTGCTTAGTCTCTTCTCTATCATATTTGAGGCTGAGAATTCGATTAAAGATATGACAACTAACCATAAATTAATTGTTTTGCCTAAAATTGGATAAATGGTCATCTTTTAATATGACTGTCATCAATGAATTTTTTTCATTTAGCAGATCACTTGCATGCATCAACACATATACACAAAAATGTCCCCCCAAAATGGAAAGCTTGGTACTAATATGTAACTACCAAAAAAGGTAATATTTAATTTGGAAAGTACCATGGATAAATTATTCTACCAAGCAAAAAAAAAAAAATGTTAAGTATTGTATTATGATGAACATCATTATATCAAAAACATTTACCCTGTATGAGTTTAAACTTATGAACGACCTATCTAGGAGAGTCTTATAGGTGTCAATTACAAAACTAAGGATTAAAGAAAAACTATTTCATCTATTGAAATACTTACCACTTTGCCATCCTAAATAATTTCATTTTGTAGCTCCCTAAATTAGGTCTTTTGAATTCAGTTTGGTTTCAATTTAGAAAACATTTAGAAAGAGTTTAGAAAACATTAAGCGTTTAAACTCTTCTCAAAAATACTGGCTTCTCCAAGGAGACTCAGGGAATCCAAAATAGTTGTGAATTTACTAATTAAATTAGCCTAAACATTGAGGAGACCCAGAAGTTCCACAGACTTTTTTTACGTTGAGGATGCTGGTTAATTAAATATATTAAAAACAGATTACATACAATCCCTTATGGATTGGTAGTGGAGTAGTGGAAGAATACCATAAAGGAAGTGTATATGTTTCAAAATGTTCCTATATGTTTCTAAATGTTTCAACAGTGAATTGTCTCATGACAAAATCTCATTTTAATAAAGAGATAATAGGATAGAGAAAAAGAAGTAACACTGATCTTATTCCCACAGAATTTTGGTAAAATAGCAGATATTTCCAACTGATAGCAGTCATCTTGGATCACAAACTTGGGCTCTAGGATGAATCATCTAGATAAATTTTGTCTATTTACTCTTTTTGAGTGATGAACAAATATACTACAATTCTAGAAAATATCAGTTGAGAAAACACCAGGACTAGAATCCCCTATTGATTCTTGATCCAATGTACATTTATTTATGTGTGTGTGCATATTTACATATTTAGGCATACACACACACACACACACACACACACACACACACCTTTCTTTACAGCATTAGAAAACTGCATAAATGAATATAATTAACACCAAACAATTCCATTCAAACTTTTTATTGTTAAAAATTCTCACTCACTTGAAGCTTTAGTAAAATACGGCGTTTGCATCAACTGACTCAGGCAATCTTTCAAGTTCACTTTCCCCTCTTCTGAAAATGGAACATAAAGGGATGAATAACATTTGGTCAAAAGATACCAAGCAATGGTATTAGAAGATATCCATGCCTACTTAATCTTTAAGACTAAAATGTTTTCTAACTCTGATTCTGCTATACATACCTCAGAATAACTATGAAAAGGAATATGATTATGATGACTCTTGTGGTCATTTTTGTTGTAGTGTCAATGAGCATTTTGTGGATTTTACACACACCTTAACCAATTGGGACAACTGTTTTGGTATGTTTCCTCTCCCATTTTATATTATCTTAATTTTTCAGTATCACAAGTCCTATAAGTGCCTATATTTTCAAGGAAGACAATTTATCTGCCAGAAAATAAGTCTTATAAACCAAACTCAACCATAATATCTAAAGAAGACTACGCTTATGAGCAAAGATATATTAGTAAAGGAAGTGTGCAATCTTTGGCTTTCTATCAGGCATATGCTTGGGACTTAAGATGAAAAAGAGCAACCCAAGGCTCTGCATGTAAACTAAACATTCCATTGGCAGGATTCTAAAAACTCCAGCATAGCCCGTTGAGAATTCTAGGGAAACCCAACTGGTTGTGTGCATCAGCACACTAAGGATTAGGTCTTTGTTTCATGGGCTTGAGACAGCTTCACAGCTTCTGACAAACAAATAGGATAGAGAGAGGAAGATTATATTTTCCTAGGATACTCAATATTAAGATAATCCAGAACAAATTCTCATTCAGCCCTAAAAGGGAAAATCTAGAGTTGCCGAACTCATTGCATTTGATTCCTCATCACTTAAGCTCTTTGGATTCTGAGTGAAAGTAAACACAAGCTTTTTGCGTTTAATAAATGACTCAGAAGTGTTACAGCTCTTTCAGAATTTGTCTAGCAGGCTTTCTGGTTTTTGCCAGAAAACCCTTCAAAAAATTTTCTTTAAATAAAGAAATGACTCAGAAGAGAAAATACATACTATCAACACAAACGGATCCAAGCACCTCCTGTAATTCTTCCTCTGGAAAATAAATCCCCAGGCCTTTCAGTACAGAATTTACATCATCAGCATCAAGTTTTTCATTGGTGACTTTGTCTAAGGCCTTTGCAAGTTTGTTAACCTCTATCAAGATAAAATAGAAAATATTTTCAGTTTAGCTACAGTCATATTGTAAATAATAAACTACAGTTCAAAACATTAGTATAGGTACCTGACATCGTTAATTTAAAGATGATATAGCACAGTGCAATTCACCTTAAATACTCAGGGGAGGGATCATTTCAAACTTCATCATCCAAAAAAATCCTTGATAACATTCTTGGTATGTGCCCTTACAGCATTTTTGTATTTTAGTGGTATTTAATTAAAACTCTTTAATGGCAAACTTTGTTTCAGTTAGCAAGGTATCCTGACCATTTTCCCTTTCAACACACTATTCTACCAGCACCATTTTAAATGACTGTATAGTATTCCACTGCATTAATATATCCTATCTTTCTAAATCAAAGTTTAATTGTTATCATAAGTGGAATCCTGATGATAAATTTTCTTAAACATGCATCTGTTCACTAATGGTTTTTTCCTAACATAAATTTCCAAAGTTAAGGCCTTTGAGATACAATGCCGAATAATGAAAGAAAATAGTCATTTTACTACATCCTTTCTAACTTCAACTTATTCTTTCTTCCTTTCTTATTTTTCTGAAAGAGCTTCTAGATGATAATGCCAATCCTCCCCTCCAATTCCTCCCCCTCAAAAAACAAACTCCTTTAAGAATTGAATTACACATATAAATTAATTTTGAGAAGTGACTTTAGTAAAATATGTGAAATCCATCAATAAAATATTTCTCCATTTATTCAAATCATCTTTTTCAGCTATCAGCTCTATGACAATGACTTTCAAATGTTTCTATCACTGAACTCATCCAAATTTTAGTTCACATGTCTAACTGTTCCCTACCTAACTCTTCCTTCAAAGCCTTCCTCCATTTTTCTCTAAAACTCTCACCTTCACCTGAACTCCTAAAATAATAAACGTGTAACCACTCATTTGATCTTTTGGTATATTAGTTACACTTTTATATAAATGGCTTATTTTTCCAGCTAGACTTTAATATCCTTGTGGTCTACCTCTATACTATGCATATTTGTATTAAATATATGTATACTAATTATATTAACTTGTGATTATGGTATAAGATCAATTTTTCAACTAAACTAATAAGCTATAACATAGTTAAAAAAAATAATAATCCCTGAACTTGGAGTCTAATTTTTTTTTTTTAGACGGAGTCTTCCTCTGTTGCCCAGGCGGGAGTACAGTGGCACGATCTCTGCTCACTGCAATCTCTGCCTCCCAGATTCAAACGATTCTTCTGCCTCAGCCTCCCAAGTAGCTAGGACTACAGGCGCATGCCACCACACCTGGATAATATTTTGTACCTTTAGTAGAGACAGGGTTTCACTGTGTTAGCCAGGGTGGTCTTGATCTCCTGACCTTGTGATCCACCCGCCTCAGTCTCCCTAAGCTTCACTTTTCTCATTCTTGATTATAAGAAACCTACTTAACACAGTAGTCAAAAGAATAAACTGTGTAAAACAAATTATATGAAAGTGTTTGGTAAAACACCAAACACTATACAAATGTATTACTATTTGCCAACAAACTAATATGATATTATTTGAAACCAAACAAAATATAATGTAATACTATAGACATTTTTGCCCTGAAATGCTTCTTAGACTAAAATAAGAGTTGGAGAAGAGTTTTGGTAACTTTATAAATCATTAGGCTATTAACTTATGGTTAAGTGAATTAGAGATTTTCAAAAGTATACTCAAAAGTTAGGGAGATATTTCACAGAGGGCAGCCATCACATGATGCCATGAAATGTTTCTTGGTGCCACAGTTAAGAAGACAACACCAAGTTGGATGAATCACTGATTCCAGTAAGTTAACATATATATCTCCATATGAAAAATTCATGGGGCAGCTTTGCCAAAATGGCTGAATAGAAACAGCTCTGCTCTGTGGCTCCCACTAAGAAGACGAAAAAGAAGAGTGAATTCTGCATCTTCAATTGAGGGACAAAAGTTCTGTCATTGGTACTGACTAGGTGGTCGGCGCAATCCATGGGGAGTGAGGAAAAGTAGGTGGAGGGAAGGCCCACCTGGGAGCTTCACAGGGCAAAAGGAGTTCCCACCCCTAGCCAAGGAAGTGAGGGATTGTGCTATCCCTCCCTGAAAACCATGCTTTTCCCACAGATCCTTGCAACTGCAAATCAGGAGGTCCCCTCATGAGCCCACGCCACAAGAGACTTCAGTCCCAAGCACAGAGCTGTGCAGACTCACAGTGGCTGCTCAGGCAGCAGGCACTGAGACCCAAGTGTTTTTGCATACTCCAGCTCTGGGAACTCTGGTGAGGTAGGAGCTCTGTCCACTCCCATGGGAAGGGGGCTGAAGCTGGAGAGTCAAATGGCCTCACTTAGTGGGCTCCACTCCCATGGAACCCCACAAGCTAAATCCCACTGGCTTGGAATCCCCCCCAGCCAGTACAGCAGGCTGGAGACCACCTAAGAACATCAAGTTCTGGGGTTGGAGAGGAGAGGCCACCATCACTGCAGCACCAGTTGGCCATTTTTCCCTGCCACTGGTGCCAGCGAGACTGGGCAGTTTGGATGGGAGCAATTCCCCACCGTGCAGCACAGTGGCTGGATCAATTCGTGGTCAGACTGCTTCTTTATGTGGGACCCCAATCCACTCCTCCTCACCAGGCGGGGCCTCCCTGTAGGAATTTCCGCATCCCCAGCCAGGGGATGAGAGGAGCCCCTAGGAGGAGGGGAGGTTGCAGTATTATGCATCAATGATCTTAGTCTTTTCTGCCTACTGGCTCTAGAGAGTCAGGGCAGCCTGAACAAGGGAGATTCCCCCCAGTACAGCACACCTACTCCACCAAGGGGTAGCCAGACTGCTTATTTAAGCAGGTGCCTGATCCCGCTCCTCCTGGCTAGGTGAGACCTCCCAACAGGAGTCTCCAGACACCTCATATAGGAGAGTTCCAGCTGGAATTGGTTTGGTGCCCCTCTGGGACAGAGCTCCCAGAGGAAGAAGCAGGCTGCCATCATTGCTATTCTGCAGCCTCCACTGGTGATACCTCCAGGGGCAGGAGGGACCCGGGCAAATAGGGTCTGAAGTGGACTCCCAGCAAACCACAGCAGCCCTATGGAAGAGGGACCTGACTGCTAAAAGAAAAACAAACAGAAAGTAACAACAACAACAACAACATCAATGAAAAAGACCCCACAAAAACCCCATCCAAAGGTCAGCAACCTCAAAGATCAAAGGTAGATAACTCCATCAAGATGAGAAAGAATCAACTCAAAAAGGCTGAAAACTCAAAAAGTCAGAGTGCTGCTTCTCCAAATAACCACAACACATCTAAAACAAGGGCACAGAACTCGGCTGAGGCTGAGATGGATGAATTGACAGAAGTGGGCTTCAGAAGATGGGTAATAACAAACTTTGCTGAGATAAAGGAGTATATTCTAACTCATTGCAAAGAAGCTAAGAACCATGATAAAACACTATAGGAGCTGTTAACCAGAATAACCAGTTGAGAGAGAAACATAAATGACCTGATCAAGCTGAAAAACATAACACAAGAACTTCACAATGCAAACACAAATATTAATAGCCAAATAGACCAAGTGGAAGAAAGATAGCAGAGCTTGAAGACTATCTTGCTGAAATAGGGCAGGCAGACAAGATTAGAGAAAAAAGAAAGGAGTAGACGAAACCTCCAAGAACTATGGGATTATGTTAAAAGACTGAAGCTACGACTGATTGAAGTACCTGAAAGAGATGGGGAGAACAGAACAAACTTGGAAAACACACTTCAGGATTATATCCAGGAGAATATCCCCAACCTAGCAAGACAGGCCAATATTCAACTTTATGAAATCCAGAGAACCCCAGTAAGATACTCCATGAGAAGATCAACCCCAACACACATAATCATCAGATTCTCCAAGGTTGAAATGAAGGAAAAAATGTTAAGGGCAGTCACAGGGAAAGGCCAGGTCACCTATAAAGGGAAGCCCATCAAACTAACAGAAGACCTCTCACTGGAAACCCTGTAAGCCAGAAGAGATTGGGCGACAATATTCAACATTCTTTTTTAAATTATAATTATTATACTTTAAGTTCTAGGGTACATGTGCATAACGTGCAGGTCTGTTACATATGTATACTTGTGCCATGTTGGTGTGCTGCACCCATCAACTCGTATCCCTAGGGGTTTTATGGTTAGGTCCTAACCAATGCTTAAGTCTCTAATCCATCCCTTTCGCGAATTAATTTTTCAGTATAAGAGTAAGCGACAAAGGATCCCAGTTTCAGTGTTCTACCGCTTTATCTCAGCCAATTTCCCCAGCACCCCATTTACTTAAATAGCGAATCCTTTCCCAATCTTGTTTTCATTCCAGGCTTTGGTCAAATACTCAATCGGCTGTAGTGTGTGGTATTACTTTCTGAGGACCCTGTTTGTTCCATTGCGGTCTACCTTCTCTGCTGTAAGGTACCAGTACCATCTGTTTTGGTTACTGCGTACGCCTTGTAAGTATCAGTTTGGGGAATCTAGTTAGCGTGATGCCTCCAGCTTTGTCTTTGACTTGGATTGTTTGGCAATGCAGGCGCTCTTTTTTGGTGTCCATATGAACTTTAAAGCAGGTGTTTTTCCAATTCGTGAATAAACTCATTTGGTGAGCGCTGATGGGTGATGCGCAACTGAATCTATAAATTACCGTGTCAGTCTCCTACCAGCTTATTTCATGACGCTATGCGATCCTCCTATCCCATGAGCATAGTCATCGGTCTTCGCCATTTGTTTGTGCTCCTCTTTATTCTCACTGCAGTGGTCGTTGCATTTCCCTTGAAAGATCCTTTACGATCCCTTTTACAGTTCGATTCCTAGTGATTTCATTCTCTTACAGCCAATTGTGCAACTGGAAAAGCCTTGCATCTCATGATTGGACCTCCTC